GAAGCTAAAATAGCATCCTCTGTTTCAGTATCTTAAGCTTCCTTTGTTTCCTCAGTGTACAGCACTGTCACAATTGTTTGCGGTGCAGATGTGCAAATTTCACCAAAGTTTAACTAAATGCAAACATTGATGAAGTTTCGCTTAGTTCCTGTGAGCACATGAAGTGATCGCTTCCATTGGAATTAACTGAATTTGCAGCACATTTTTTTTGCCATTTTAAATAGTGGCATGACCAGGCCTTTACTCTATTAAAACTATCTTCAAGATGAGATTGTCCAAAAAATGTGCACTGTTAGAATGATTCATCACTTCTTGCTCATGCTGCCATGCCAGGCAGGGGGGCAATGGGGCATTCTGGGCACACAAAAGCCAGCACATGTACTTTATTGAGAATTTATTATGACACAAAGAATAATTTAATTAAAACAAAAATCTCTTCTGTGCTCAATCAATTTATTTACTATTACCCACAAAAGCACAAAATAATAAACTCTTTTGCATTCTTTCAAACTGCCCATTTTGAGGGCTCTCAACGCTTCACTTAATGACAGTGATTGAGAGGGCTTATTACTTATTATTGTGTTCTAACAGCAAACATGCAAACACATTTATTGAGCACGGGGGGGGGGGGGGGGTTGTTTGCCTGTGAATTTTAAATTAGGCTTTGCATGCTAATAATGTCTGTGCAAAATCTAATTTATGAGCCTGCAAAAACCTTTTTGTGTTCAAAATGTCCTATTACATAATCAGAACTGAGACACAAATATAATGCCGTTCAGAGCAGATGTAAAAAGTTTTGTATTTATAGGTGGTTGGGAGACACTTCATAAGCATACTGAGACTTTAAGCTTCTTCTCACAAAAAAGCCTAACACTTGTAATTAACATATATGGCCAAAAGCCGCAGCTGTCATGAGCAATGAAGGTATTATTAATATTTTTGAGACCTTTATGGAGACATTACTCTTGCAGCCTTGAAATCCGACCCAGACGCTGTGGTATTTGCCCACTCATTTCTCTGTTTATTTATTGTCATGCCAGCTTGTTATTTACACTTTATGGAAGGGAATGTCAGGATTCATTAGTGCTGTGAAAGCTCTTTTAAAAATGTTCTCAAAAACCACTGAGAAATGCAAGTGGATCACAGGACAGCGCGTTAACCTTCTGAGGAGCGGAGAGTCGTGAGACGTTGCTGAGCGACTGAGGGGAGGAAACGGATGCAGGGAGGCTGAGCAAACAGCGTGTGAGCGGGACACACGAAGGCTCACACCAACAGAACTGGTGGTGTGAGCATGCTGTAATGATATAAAAGCTAATTTACAGATTGAGAACAGAAGCCGTGTTCTCACCCTGGTCCTCAGCGACCGGGGAGCAGTGCTCTCTGTTTGGATGGAGCTCTGAGAAGCCGTTGTACACACGTATGTTTTTAATGGCAGCATCGCAAGCAAACCAAGCTGCTGCCACTGCTGTGCAACAGTTTGTAATTTTATATTAAAAATGGCCTTTAGACACTGAAGGGGACGAAAAAGCCACTTCTAATATTTGGAAAGAACTTTTACTGTTCATTAGTTTCTTTTATGAAATATTGCTGTAGAGCGCCTGGGGAGATGTGGGATCTTTAAAAAACATCAAAAGGTTAGTTCCACTTTAAAACAATTGAGCTTATATCACAATACACAGCTGACTCTCTGAAGGACTGCCTGACCAGAAAAATAAACGATATATATTTATTACTCTGTCCACCCAAAATGTGGACAGACAAATCTCACGACTGCAGAAAGGATATTTCCACACATCACTCATGTGTAATATGTAATAAAGTCCTCGAGCGTGGTTGCATCCATCACCATGACCTATGGGAAACGTCTGCTTCAGTCTGGACGAGGTGAAGGTCAGGCCAATAGTGAGACACACCAGTTGAGATATAGGGGTGTGGCGGATGCCAGGGCCCACATGTTCCCTCAAAACAGGAGCAACAACATCAGGGATATCCCTCCACTATTTGGTTCCCTTCCGTGAAGCGATGAGAAGCACAGATCTTGAATGATGAGCAGGAAGGCCAAAGCCGGACGTAATTGCTGCTTCTGCCGAGGCGTGGAGGCATAACCTCTAATTTCCTGTGAATAATGTCCCTGTGTCGGACAGCAAGCCAGAGAAAGTGGCAGTTTCTTTTCTCAGAGGGTTTGTGGCTCAACTAATACACTCAACTGTGGCTTCAAGACCAGTGGGCCTTATTTCTTCCAATGAGCCTCTGCCCTGTGCTCTGCAAGGTTCAACATCAGGTTCAGAAAGGAGAGTGAAGCACTGTCTCTTAACAACAAGTGTTTAAAGATGATAATCAAGGCTCATCAAAGTCTGAAGACATAATGAGAAGCCAGTGCATGGAGCTAGAATATGTTTCTCTTTTTACTGCTCAGCTTAAGATATCCATTCGAAATCTGACTCCGTGTATTAAAAATCTGGAGAAATCTTCTTGTTGAAGTGTCCTCTACCCAAAATTAAGATTTATATCAACCTGATGTCTGTGTTCATTGAAGGGGCTAGTTCTCTGCTGCCCAACGTGGTTTCTTGCCGGCATTTGGTGGTGGTGATTGTCGCTTGACAAGCGCTTCAGCCATCATTGTCTTACAATACACCCTCTGAGCAGCGCTTCGTCTTCAGGGCAGCCTGGCGGCTACAATGAGTCGCTATCGGAAAGTGACGAGACGAGCTGGGGCTAGCTGGTTAGCATGCTAACTTGAGCAGAAGAAAAGAGGTGACGCTGAGCTCATAACGTTTCTTCTAGTAAACAGCAGTTTATGTTAATGTTGGCTATGTAGCAATAGCAAAACTTACAAATAGCTCCTTTAAAGATGACCTGTGGATTTTTGACCACGAGCAGAGCTATAGCAATGCTATTATAAGACAGTTCCTATTTTGTTTGTGTTGTTCACTTTCACAATTAGTTTCAGCTATTCCACAGATTGACAGTTTGTGGAAGTACGTAGTTGTGCACCACTAAAAGCAAAGAAGAAGAAGACTGTTAGCAGGGAAACACGCATGTAAATAATGCAGACTTAAAGTATATTAAAATACTTCATGAGGAAGCCAGGAAGGGATGGAACCTGACTAGCTCTTTCCCCCTGTTTTCAGTCTTCATCCCCAGCTAGCTTAACCACATCCTGATTCCCGCTCTGTACTTAACACACAAATATGAGATTGATACTGATCTTTGTATCTCAGTGTTGGAAAGAAAGCAAATAAGATATTCCCCAAGATATTGAACTACTCCTTTAAATTCTAAAAGGAGAGCTAAAAGGAAAAGGAGCTAAAATTACCAGAAATTAAAGAGCCAACTTTAAAAGCATGAAAAAAACACTCAGCAAGAGAAAAGGAAGCAGCCTCACAAGAAGAAAACAATATGTTTCCTTCTTTGTTTGTTCAAGTGATTAAATGTTTTTCCTTTTAACATTTCCTCTGAATCAGTTCTGACATTAGGCATGCTGCAGAGGCCATAAAGCTTGCTGCTCAGAATTAAAGAGCCATTAATCATTGTGAATTTATTTGCTCTGAATAGTTTGGAGACAGTGGCTTCCTTCAGCTCCTAGTTTTGTGTTTTTGGAGGAAGTCGCTTCTTCAGAGTAATACGTTCAGTCGTGTACTCTCTCCTCCATCTGTGCGCTTCCAGTGACCCTCACTCACAGCTGGTAGTGTTTAAACTTCAAAGAGTGATGAAGATTTTCAACCACATATTTTCAATGTTTGCTAATTTTCTATCTTAGCACGTGGCCGATATTAATGATGAAAGTCCCATGGGACTTTGTGGCAGCATCTGTGGTTAGTGCTGAGCATCTAAGCTAACTGGTACCAGGACATTGGGATCAGAGAGACGGAGGGGCTGACAGACATGCTAAAGGGCGGTGGTGGAGGCTTACATCGTTTCACTGAAATGTGCTGTGCAAAAGGCTGTCGAGCCTGACATGGCCTGTTTATAATAAACAAGAACAGAAGACAAAAGGATCAGACGATCCCAGATCAGATACAATGAGCTACACCATTACCGCTGCTGTGTGGTCTGAATATGTACAGTGTAGAAAAAGACAGGATAATAATTAGGGAAATATCATTTAAAGAGATATGCAGCAACAAAAAATAATAACTAGCCTATTTTTGGAAATAAAAAACAGAGCAATTTGCTGCATTTTCCCCAAAATCCTTCATTAGATTGTTTTATAGTTGGTGTTGACTAAATGCCATACAAGTGCTTTGGTACAAAGATATTCCCAACTGGGCAAATATCTACACATTTTTGTTTTTACTGACAAAAATAATGAGCTTGTTTGTAAAATATCTTTTTTATTATTCATAGTAAATACCTCTACAAAATCTGAAATTACTGTAAATAAACTGAGTAATGTGGAAAATCATGATTTTAAATCATTCTTGTACATAATATCTGTGGTGGAGACAGAACACACTGTTGTATTCCTAATTGTTATAGACATTTCTTATCCACTTATGATAACAATGCTGTGTTGTATTTACACACAACATTTGCGCAGACTCCCTGTATTCAGTAAGTTTTTCTATCTAGATGTCTTATTGCAGATTGTGTGTTTTCTGACTTTGAATGTTTTGCAAATATTCCTGAGTGTGGATCATACAAGCTGTAAAAGAGGAGGCTGAGCGACCCAAACAGATGTGGGTCTTGTTTAGATATTGTGGTCTCGTGTGGATTACTGAAGGAATGTCAGTGCAGGGAACGCGGCTTCAGAGTGTTTCACTCCGATCAACGTATGGGGTATTTGGCAAAAGAACAAACATGAGAAGCATTTATTTTTATCATCACAATTTCAAAGTTGAGACAGTCAGAGAGCGAGAAGAGGGGCTTCCTAAAATGTTTGTATGAACTTCTGATGAGGTAATTGATGCAAGGATGAAAGTTCCCTACCGAAACGGAAGCAAGAGGGAAAATAAACACTCATCAATCAACACAAAACATTTTATTCAAAACCTTTCTCAGATAATTTGATACATATAGATAGATAAACATTTACATAAACACTTCCTTCAATAAAATAATCTGGCATTCCTATTAGCCTGAGCCAGAAGTCGGATGTTGCGCACACAACCAGCAGCAGCTTCCTGGAGCATCTCATCATCAGAGCCCATCATCTGGATGAGGGGCTGTGGGCGGACAGGACAAAGGTCACAAGCGGCATCAGGAACAGATTCTTGAAAAATCATTATTTTCCAACAGTGGAGCGATACACCTCATACACCTCGGTAGGCTGCTGTCCATGTTGCCATGTCAGCACCAGTGACTGCACACTACCACTGGTTATGGCTGCAAAGATATACAGTGGCTGTGCGGTGACAAATTCAAGCTGCACTGGCACGTGTCCCTCTGTGTGTTCATGTGTGTATTCATTGTGTGTGTGTGTGTGTCCTACTTGCAAACCATGCCTCAGCAAAGGGGTTACAGCTGCGAGCACACATGCTTCTGTAAGTTTGTTCAGATGAAAGTCGTGCGGGGCAGGCTCGACATTAAAAACCTGAGCATGAACCACACCACTCGACAGCCTTTCCGCCGCTCCAAAGGTCAGATTATATCCGACTATTAGTGGCTTGTGTAATGGATCTCGTTAGATCTTATTGCAGAACAAGGTTTTTTGCCTTCCAGAAATCTCTAGCTTTGGAAGTTTATTTTTTGGTTACATAAAATTTAACATTTTATGATTTTCGTACGTTCAAAGAGTTGTGTATTATGTAAAACTAAGCAAACAGGAACACACTGGATATATGGAATACCACTGAGTAGCATGTGTTTTTAGGGGTGAGCTTTTTTTTCCTGTTTTATCTGCAGCAAAATCACAACGTTATGTTTGTGGGCGGTTTTGGGGCTGAATCAAAATAAAAGTAAATGTAAGCATAAATACTCTGGTGCAAGGGATGAATCTAAATTTGTTCAATGTGTGCTGTGGGGTAAAATCACAATGGTGTGCCACTGAGGTTTCCTAAGCCACACTTTCAATTATTTTGGATAGTCTTGTTTACATCCATAATGAACCAACAGCAACATTACATCCTTCAACTAAGCACATGAGGACTCCCTGCTCCTACACATAATTAAGCCTTGATAAATACAGTAACTGAGCGATTTAAGCCCCATATATCAAGGCCTTGTTCTCAACTAAATGAGAGGAGATTCTGAAAAAGATGTCTCTAACAAAGAGCATGCTGCAGCAGGCTTACACTGGTGTTTGGGCACCATCTGGATAGTTTCCCTGGTGTCAGTGCAATAATGTCACATCCCTGTTGACCCTTCTGAGCAACACAGATGACAATATCTAATATCACTGTCAAAGCAAATGATCCAGTAACTAAGCCTCTTTAAAACTTACATCTATCCACTCATTTAGATTTAGTTTAAGGCAGCAGGGTAACTCTGAAAACTTCTGGCTAATGTCCATTTTCTCAATTTCTGTCCCGTCTTGTCTCCTTATTTAAAACTCTCATCCTGTTCAGTGTTGGTTCCACATGTCAACATAGGAAGTGATGGGATTCCTTTGTCTGTTTCACACAAGTGAAATGTCACTGTAAACTTGAATAATCATTTTCAATAATATTTTGTGCACAGACATTTCCTGATCTCTGTCCAGCTGATCATGTTTTCCTCTCAGGTTATCACTGTGTTCATAATGCATGTCAGAGCAGAGCTGAGGTTGACCCTGACCCTTCTCCATGTTACATGCAATCTTAAAACATTGTGCAGCACATTTGTGTGGTTAGCAAACAGCCAAACAGCCTGGGAGAAGACATTCCCAGGATTTTCAGCACAAAGATAAACAGTGAAAGGAAAACAGATGAAAGACGAGGTGAGCCAGCTTGTGTACGGGCACGAAAGCACTGTGGGCCTACAGTATAAATCCTTCCTGCTGATTATAATCACATCATTTTGTGGGGAAAGGCATACAGCAGTCCAAGATGTCAGCTCATCTCAATGCACCAGTGTTGAGGAGTTTATGTGAAACATTTGCCCTCAGGTTTTATATGGTTTTTAAATAGCATCCAAAACACCTCCAAAAGCAAACTCACATCCACAGGCTCCAGAAAACATGCAGCACACTAGACAAGTCTCTTTTGTGAAAAGAGAGGATGCCTGAGAAGTGCCAGAGGCAGCATTTTTGCCAACCTCATAGCATGTTATTCAGACGTCGCCAAATAAGGTCTCCCGAAGCGCACAGCTAGGCTAAGATAAGCGTGTCTCTCTTTGCTGCCTTTTTTCTAGTTTGCTCTTTCCCTCCCAGCTGGGAGCTCTGAGAATATAATACGCCACTTGTTAGATATTCCCTGACTGTGGTAACATGAACACTTGCCCCACGTTTGAAAACTGGATCGTGAGTTTTTGAGGTTTTTGCACTTCAGAGAGCTCCAGTGAGTCCTGACCTCCAAGAAGGGAGCTGAGGAACAAGCCCCCCCCCCTCCCTTGCTAAGAGAGGAGAGGGGGAAGAGAAGGCGTGCAGTCTGGGAGGGCCGCACATATTGTTGCATGTGTACACACACATCCTATCGCACACAGAGGTGTCATGGTGTTAAGTGCGCTCTGTTGGACCGCTTCTGCCTGCAGGAGTTCGAGTTGAAATTCCCCTGTGCCAGGTCTGACAGCCATTATGGCTCCATCAGCCCGTTGCCCTCTTTCCCAGCATTCCCATGTTTTAGACTCCACTGTGGAGGCAAACAGCACAAACAGACAGCAGTGTTTAGCTGGGCCGAGGGGAAGTTGGTCAGGGAAGTCAAGGTAAACAACATTCCCTGCAGCCTCCAGTGAGCCAGAGACTGTTAAGCTGCTTTTCTATGTCTCTAAAGAGGAAGAGGAAAAGAAGGGAGGGCAGTTTTCAAATTAGTGACTTTAAGGGGAAAGTTTCAATCTGAACCCTAAGCCTGTTCAACCTGAAGAATATGGCTTGGCATTTCTGGTGTGGGCGTGAGGGAGAGAGGCTTAAGTCAAAGGCTCTAAAACATTACACACCATGGATCTCAACAACATGGTAGTCATAACAGAGCAGGAAACACACAGCGCCTGTATCATCTGCTCACCACACCCACAACCTGAAGTCATGTTACGCACAAACCAAGAGGAAACTTCAAAAGTAAACCTGTGATGCTCTGCTTGGTTTTTACTCCCTCCCTTACATTTGTGTAATTGCTGCCCCCCACAGCCCCACTGCACACTTTCACTCCTGCAGTCTGAGCATGTAAGAGGGAAAAAAATTAAAACAAACACTAACCGTGCTGGGGCAGAAGTGTGCTCATGGCAACAAAAGTGCAAACGTTTTTCTCATTTAGATTAGTTAAAGCCCAAAATACATACCAGGACCTGGCAAAAGCCATGCTCTGGAATACCCGCAGTTGAAAATTACCAATAATTACCATCCGCATTTTGTAATTTTCATCAATTTACTTCACAAAGCTTTTCTTATGAAAGAGCCTCTTTAATACAAATAGCTGGCTGAAGCTGTCTACAAGGATTTATGGTTTCAGCAAACAATCCCCAGTCCTTTGGAAGCAATGTAAAGCACACAGGGAAGGAATGTTGATTTTGTACATGACACAAAATGAAGCGCATCCGTATAAAACTGCGAGATACCAAGAGTGGATGTCAAATCAAATGTCCAGAGCAATTCATCTCTAAGACTAAAACTCTCTTTTCCCTGGTATGTGTTTCCTGTGAGAGTGAGCACCTGGGTCCCTTTTCTTGAACAAGGCCTGATACGATCCAATACATTCCACAGGTTTTGTCCAAACATGAATTTAAACAGATTTTTTTAGATGTTAAATACTCATAGCGTTGAAACTAAATAACTGAATGGACAAAATTTGAATGTTTTGGTTGAGGCAGAATAAAAACACTAATATGGGTCACTAATGTGTTTTCCAGTGTGAAATACTTTCATTTCAATTCTTAATTTCCCCTGTGAATCTTAAGGAACTGGCCAATACACCATTATGTATGCTAGAGAGGAAAGTTACTTTCTAAAGCAGCTTTAGAGTAAGAGAGACCTTTGCTCATTCGAAACTGTATACTACACATGGGTGAACATGTTTTGAGAGCTTCTCTACGGCACAGAAAAACTCTTTAAAATACGGTTGTAATAATACAAGAGGCACTCCAAAACTTACATAGGGCCATAAATTAGACACAGGGTCCTGTATCAATATGTGATAAACCCTCTCCAACCCATTCAGAAGTATTGGAGATATTGTTTTAACACATTCTCTTCACCAGCTGCCTGTATATCATGAAGCTGAGCATTACAGTGCAGACTGAAAGGTGGAGATAGACAAGCTCCCACACTGTAAATGTTTCCTCCGGGGTCAGGCAGGTAAGTATCAGCCGCCCCCGTCCAGACTGGCTGAGACTGAGGCCAGACTGAACAATGAGGCTGCCTGTGTTGTGTTTCCATGTCTGAGATTAGGAACAAATGCAATGCTGGTGCAGTTACGTGGCCTTTGGCAATTAAGCTCTTTAAAAGTCCAAAAATACATTATGGAGTAGTGTTGCAACTCTTAACTGGTACATTAATAAGGGCAAACACAGAGACAGATTAAAAAGGGTGGTATGTTTTGCACACACACACACACACACACACACACACACACACACACACACACACACACACACACACACACACACACATAAACACACACCCATAGTCACACACAAACTCACACTAGAATTTCAAATATAGAAACACACACACTCACTCTGAGCAAGAAAGAGGACTTGTCCAGTTTTTGTCGTGGCTCAAACTACAAAAAGCACTCAGCTTAACGACTTTTGCAAATTGGACATAACTCTTTCGGAACACCCAATGTTCAGTCCAGCTACCAATTATGGCTAGTGTTGAACCACATACACTGTAACAGCAGATCAAGCTAAAGTATACCATTTAATGAACATGGGAAAAAAATATCTGGCTGCAATAGCATAACCACTTCATAATTTATATTGCAGTTGTTATTTAGGGGGAAAAAAAAGGATTTAAAGTCACTGTGGCCACAAAAAGATTTCTCATGTGAAAGTCTTTGTATGTGAAACTTGATTGAATTAGAGCATGATAGCAATGTTTTCCCAAAATGCTGAAATATGGGTACATTACCATCTTTGACAAGACATCAGTTACAGGGTAATCTTAACATAAAATCTCCACGTCATTGTCAGAAACAAACATAAACAGTCTCTGGAGCTGAGTATGGAGAGGCAAAACAATGCTTGTTTCTTTTTGGAAGTGCACTACACAACTGCTATGATGGAGGAAGCTGGCGGATGTAGCCTTACAGAAGAAAAAAAAACTTGACTATAAAAAAAAAAAAAACATTGTTCTCTTTTAGTCTTGAACAGCTCTGACTAAACTCCTTGGCCTGAACCATATCGCTGCCGCATTCTACCCTGATGTCCAGGAACAGCCCTTAGCAACAGTTACCCCCAGCTACAGCCCTTTGACTTGTGCTGTAATGGCATCTAGGGTCTACCGGAGAAATGGCACTTTGCACACACTGAGCTGTTTGCTTTTCTGAATTCCCATGACGGCTAGAAAGTGGAGTCATGTTTCCGCCGCTGAATAAAACCCACTTTGTTTCTGCTCCATCGGTCAAAGGCTCTGAAAATAGTCACAGCTTTTCAAAGTTTATTACTCAGTGTTTTTCACACATTGCTAAAACAAGGGTGGTGGGAGGCCAAGACACATTTTCCTCAGTGTAATTATGCCAGATTTAGTCTCCAAAGCACGAAATAAACTAGATAAATAACTACTTTGTTAATTATCTATAAAGAAAAGTAGTGAGGAGTTAGATATCCAGCTACAATGGTTCTAAAACTGACCTTGACCACTCCTTTCGAATGCATGGTGATGCAGTTCTGGGGGTCCTTGGACAGCTGATACAGGGCCATGGCTGTGCTCTGGTGGACTGCACTGTCCTTTGACTTGAGGTAGCGCACCAGAGGGGCCACGGCCCCAGCTTCACCAAACGATGCCCTGTTGCTGCCCCACATGCAGCATTGGCTGATAGCCTCAGCGAGGTGGCGACGGAGCCTGTCATCAGTCTGTGGAGAAGAGAACAGGAGGCCAGTCTTTACAATGTAGAGAACAAGCTCAGCAAGAGACTCCTGGCAATATCTACCAATGTTCTTCTCATTAGTTGGATTTATGCTTCATTGAATAGGACAAGGCCAACTAAAATACATTGTAAAGACAGTTATTTGTATATTGACAATAACTACAGTGTTCTTGAGTAGTAAAACCCCGTTTCCAGCAATGAGGTGTACTTACTGTGTTAGTCAACTTGGCCAGCAGTTGGACAACCCCATAATCAGTGAGGACTGCCAGATTCTCCTTGTCTTTGGCTATTTTGGCGATGGCGGCACAAATGCTTGCCAGGACCTCGTTGTTTGTTGACTTCAGCAAATCAATAATCAGTCGCAATCCACCGACAAGGGAGCGCACCATTTCCCCTGCATCCTTTAGTCAAAGAGTCTGTTATTAGCTGGTGAGGAGGGAGGTAGTGTAATGGATGAGGAAAGAGAGGAGGCAGACAGGGGCATTTAAGCAAGGCAGACACAACAAAGGACACTAAATAAGTACAAACAAAGTATTTCCATCAGCTCAGGCAATAATCACGGTCCCATTAGCGCAAACCAAGCATTAGAACTATCTTTAGCTGTGTAAAACAAATGCTTTCAAAAATAAAAAACACCCTCTTCTATAGTACAACTGTGTTTTGAATTCTTCATGAGCAAGCAATAAATCTGACATCTTTGTCAACCTCTCCTCTCACCCCAGCATGTCACGATGAAGAGGAAACATAGAATTTAGAGCTTAGGAGTGACATTTAAACCTTTTGCCCCAGGCTGACACATAGTGTAGACTCAACGCTTCATGGTTTGAATTCATGGCACCAGCTGGTACCACATAACTCTGGGCCACTTATGGGGCAATGCCTACCAAACCAAGAGGCTGTTAGGGAGTGCTGAGGGAACCACAGCGGAAGAGCTGGCAGATACACTGGCTTTAGTATGGCTTGGCACATCAGGCCACTGTTTAAAATCACAACTCACCGTATCGCCAGCCGCAGAAGAATACATCAAGGTGGCAGAGTCTGTAATGTTCAGTGCTTTGAAAATAGAACAGAAATTCCCCCAAAAACATACAATTATGGATCACTGGATGCAAATCACAAAGCATGCTTAATTTGAGTCCATTTCGACATCAATCTACATGTCAAGAGCTGATGAATGGCGCAGTACTGTGGAGTACAGTAATCACAGAATTTATTATGTGCACTGGATAGTTGTTCTTCGATCTACAAATTATGGGATTTCATCAAATGCAGTGATGAGAAAAAGCAGGCGCTGATTTACAGTTTTAGTGTTCAGCTACTTTGGGGGAGTGTGATGTACTGCTGTGTTCTCCTCTCTAACAGAGAGCTCACAGCTGAGATCAGGTCAGGGTTGTGGTGTATGGGCCCTGTGATGCTGTGCCAGAGGATGAGCCATGGGCAGTGCAGGGTTTGGGGCGGGGTGGGCCGGGGCCAGGAGCTGACCCCCCGACACACAGGAAGCCCTTCCTCAGGAATACTGATGACGGCTGGCCGGGAGTCCCTGCGACAGAGGAAGCTCTCTCAAGCCACCAGCTGCGATAGACTAGCCAGAATCTCTTTCATGGCCTGGACGGGCCCCCAGATCTGAAAACCACAGCATTATGAGGCTGCACACGGAAAGGTCTTTCTCGCTATCCTCTCTCTCCCCTCCTCTTACTCAGGATGAAATGAAATAGAAAACACATTATCTGGTGTGCGTGATCTCAAACTGAGGGGAGCAGGCCAAGCTCAGCATGGCAGAAGCATGCCCTGACCCCTTCTCTGGAGCAATCAGGCTTCTATAACATACATGGCTACTATGTAAAGGAAAAATAAATCAAGCATCTCAATGTGCCTCTGCATTCAGGCAAATTAATGATACACCCCATTACGTGTGACTGGGAGGGTTCTACTTTCTTGATTGGAGAACAAAGATAATTGAATGATTCACTGCTTAGTCTACTGGTATGGTACTAAGTGAGTTGAAGTTGTGGACCTGTGAGCATGGAGCACAGCGTCTGTCTGTGGAGAGGCAGCAGAACTGTATGGAGCATCCACCAGATGCATTTATACCACAGCTCTTTCATAAATCCACTATGGAACTGCTAACTCAAACCACATGGGGTTTTTATCTAAATAACGAGTGCACCAAAGCAGCTGTATCAGGTTCCTCAACTCGATGGGCAAAGAGCACTATTTAGCTCTTGTCGTTGCCCCTGTCTAAGAAAAATCACCCAAAAAGCATGTTCATGAATTTCCCACAAAATTGGCACACTGACGTCCAGACAAACATTGTCAAACTTTGTTAGCGCTCAGTAGTGGGTCTGCAGTCCCCCTTCTCTCTGCATATGGTTGCCATGCATCATTTTTGCTACACTTCTGGGGCCAGAGAAATTCCAGCCAGCAAAAAAAAAGCTCTTCGCCCCCAAGACACCTGCCTGGGCCCAATATATATTTAAACTTAACCAGATTGTCCCACTGACAAGCTGTTTACCTTAATCACAGCGATAATCTAATAGAACAACATTACGTTTGTAGTTGGAAATGATACAAGCGCCCAGCAGATCAAAGACCTGCTGATATGTAACTGAAATTAGAGTTGGTTGACAACATAGCTGTGTAATAGTAGGCTAAAGGCCTGCGATGATGGCATAAAGAAGCTCATAACGTAGGACTCCACTAATTCAGCATTGCACCTATATCAATGTCAGACTCACAATGAACAGTTTTTTTAAGTATCAAAATCAAAGCAGTAGAACCAGAGATATGGTCTTTTTTATTCCACACATTCTTCTTCCTTGTCAAAGTGTGGCGCCTAAATTATCTACAATGTAACCAGATCATCAACAGTTCAGTGGGAGATTTGGGTGTGTTATGCTAGTAGTGGCTTATAGCCTCGAGCCTCTAGCAGAGATGAGGAGTGGGCTACAGAAGTCTGGTCTTTTTGGGGCGTCGTGTGGCGTAGTGGTCTAAGCAGGCGCCCCATGTGTAGAGGCTATAGTCCTCAGCAGTTGTCGAGTCCCACATCGGACGGCCTTTGCTGCATGTCATTCCCCCTCTCTCTGCCTCCCCATTTCCTGTCTCTCTCTACTGCACTATCAATAAAGGCAAAAATGCCCCCAAAAAAAAGAAGTCTGGTCTTTTTTCTGACTCCACAGCCCCATTTTTTTCAGTTTCAAACTTAAAGTCTTCAGCCCCAAACAACACTGACTCAAGTGACATTACTTGAGGACATTTGTCAGACTTCACACAGCTCCCTCTGGAGAAACAGAAAGTTTTATATAACTGTTTGCATATGCAGTAGTAGTGACCATGATGATATGTTGGTATGTGTATGTGTTTATGTTTCTTTAAAGAAAACATGTGTCAAGTTTATGGACCAACAAAATTTCATTCTATGCACATTTATATCTAAAATTATATAAATAGCATTCAAAGGCATGTTGTGGCTTTTTGCAAGCCATTTGTGCAGTGTTTTCTTTAGAGAAGTGGGTTCACAGAAACTGTGGGCTACCCAGTGCTCTATGCATGTATTGTGTGCCTCTTTAACTAGTAGCATGTTGAGGGAAGATTTTCAACTGGGAAATCAAAAGCCATGCCACAGGATATTACTCAGTCTTTCTCCCTGCGTTCTTCCCAATTCACCAATCCCAGTGTGCCAAGGCGGCTTCTCTGCTTCATATTAGCCCGAGGTTCATGTAAGCCTCCTCTAACACAGCTCTGCCCCTGCTAACCTCCCAGCAGCGGCAGGCTGGAGGAAGAGCTTAAGAGACAAGTATGGTGATATAAGCAGGCTTCGGTTTTGTGAGTGGGATAACCCTTTATTCTGAAACAACACAAACTCTGCAGAACTCTTTGATTTTCAGACCATCTATCTGCCTTTGGTGTGCTTCATTTGCACGGACCAGGGCTGCCATCAGGGGGGGTCAAAGGGTACAGATGACCCCAGCCAAAGCCAATACCAAGGTCATGCAAAGGTCTACGGTTTACCCTTCAGTGGGATCAAGTACGAGAATTTACTTACTGATTTATATCCCTGACAACATAATTTATATGTATTTACATATACATATATAAATAACAACATATGAAATGTGAATGTGAATTGTTTTGAAAACACATTGAAGGGGCGTCGAGTGGCGCGGTGGTCTGAGCGGGCGCCCCGTGTGTGGAGGCTGCAGTCCTTGCTGCGGTCGGCCCCGGGTCGGACGGCCCTTTGCTGCATGTCGTTCCCCCTCTCTCTGCCTCCCCATTTCCTGTCTCTCTATACTGTCCTGTCCAATAAAGGCACAAAAGCCCAAAAAAATATACAAAAAAAAAAAAAAGAAAACACATTGAAAACTATTTCAGCTTGTCATCTGATGACCCCCCTGGTTTAACTGTGGAGATGGTACGGTCAAAACACTTTTCCCCACATTCCCCTCAAAGAAGACAGCTGCTGGTCAATATCGACTGGTCGTGCAAGTGGATAACATTAATGTAATTTTTTTTTTTTTTAACTCTGATGCTGAATGTTTGCTCTCTCAATCCACATGAATATTGAAAAATATTTTCTCTCAAAAGAAGACTCAGAAGGGCTCGTCCTGAAGCAGCGCGGTCTAGACCGGAGCGGTCTGGACCAGAGCTATTAGAAAAAAAGAGTACCTTTGAAGCTTAAAAAAATACATGGGAAAGCTGAACTGTCCAACCAGTGTGCTATCTATCCAATTAATTGGTTTTGAATATTTCCAGGCCACAGTTGCTGTGGCTGCTATAGCAGTCAAGAGATGGTCAGGAAGGGATAGCAGCTAAAGAAGAGAGAGATGTTGGAGAGGGGGAGCAGTGCAGCCAACATGCTGCTGCAGGACAGGCAGCTAGGTGAGACTGACAACAGCAAACACAGAGGATGCGGTGTGGATGAGGGGCCGTATTTTGGAAAATTTTGTCCCACTGTCTATAATTCCTAATGGCTGGCCTGGCAGAGACACGGGACAGAAGAAGAAGACAAATCTATGTCATGTCATGGAGGAAGGAAAAGGATCTTTACTTCACTGTACTGTACCTTTGCATTCTCAATGCATGGACAAAGGGCCCACGCAGCACTGGACTGGACATCTGGATTGGGGTTTTTCAATAAGGACCACACCAAGCGGACTCCATCAAGCTGGTCAATGATTCTGTAGAGAGAGAGAGAGAGTCAGAAAAGTAGTGTGAGAAAGGAGGGAAAGGAATAACTAAACAAAGAATAAGCAAAACCAAGAAAGTGTTAAGATTGTGATTTCATTTAGATCCTTCCTTCAGCATTATTTCATACTTGAAAGATTTAAGAGAGCGATATTTTTTTCTTAGAGCTCTTGCTGTATCAGTCTGGCCAGCAGCAGGCTTAACACAACCACAGCCAAGCAGGATCAAAGCATCAATCGATTTCAACAATGGCTTTTCATCACAACTTGCCTTCAGTCCTGCTCATTTCCTCTCCAGGCTTAAAATCCACCCACTGTCTGCTCACTCAAATCACTCTCCACGGGAAAGCTTGGCGATGCTAGGGCCAGAGGTTAACTTGCATACATCTGTGTATAGTGCTTCATACATGGATCTATAAATAGCAAGTGAGACAAACTTACACTTTATGTTGGTGGCTTATTTTTCAACCAGAGCCAAAAAGAGGACCTCTTTCCAAATCAAACAGAGGCAGAGACAGGTCGCTCTGTATTTCATAGGGTCTGAGTGAAGTTTACTTAAGCATGAGCTGTGAGCTGTATTTCATGTTGTATACATGACTGTAGTCAAAACTGCAGTCAGGGTCTGGGAACCCAAAGCATTACGCCACAGTGCACCCGTTGTCTGGTATAAATAACATGTAACGTGTTCCCCATGTGTGCTTCCACCAACAAGGCCGACATTGAATGCTGTCATAATTACTTAAACACTCCCTAATCACAGTATCTCCGTGACTGGCAACGAGCGAACACTCATCAGGGACGTCCCCTGCGCCATCTGTCTTCCGTTTGCACATAAATCAGTCTAGAGGGATCATAACATCAGATTCCAGTGTGCGGGGCCTCTTAAATCCGAACCAAAAACAAAAGTGAAGCGTCATATCATCCGCCAAAACAGCTCCATCTTAGCATGAAGCAGGTATGAAACAGATTAGCAATGAAGTTGCAGCTGACAGTGATGGATTAGAGGAGGAGACCACAAACCCTGGAGGCATTAGACAACGTGTGTTCACTCTTGTAGATACACAGGATTCATTGGGGGAAGTGCTATGTCATCAACCACACACTGCCTACTGGTTGAGAAAGAAAACAAACATATGAGTATTTCATGGAAAACTTGAAAGTGATCAGTGCTTGTTTTGGGCTTTCAGTAGTTATGGATGACCTGAATCAGAATGATGATGAGAGAATGATAGCCCTGATCAACAGAGGGTGGTATTTGAGAAAAAGTTTGTGTTGGTAAAAATGAAGTCATGTTAACTGACAGGAAAGTTGTAGCTGCCGCCATAATATCATGCGTACATCAGCGTAATATATTTGTTAGCTAGCCAAACACCATCAAAACGCTGGGAATCTGAAAAACAACTCCAGCCATGTTGGGTTGGAGCATCAAACAATCGGATGTGAGCTGTGTTCATTGCACAGCAAACTACTATACACGTACATGTCCCAAAATAAGCTATCACCACAAAACATACACAAAGCGGCTGTTGAAATCAGAACTTTCTGTTTACAGAGAAGTGTAAACGCTGAAAGATTACAAGGTCTGGCCCAAATATATGTGCCGTGAGAAAACATGGAGAACATGTTAAAACCGGTGTAAAACACTTCTCTTCTTGTGTGAAGTTTACCAGAGTTAGTGGCTTTATTTTGACATGCTTCACTTTTTATTCAATCCCTTGGTTTTTGCCTCAAAACAAATGTAATAGGCTCATATGATAGCATTAACAGCTAACTAACAATGTGAATTCAGACAATAAGCTGTATTTGTGTCCAGTGCTAATTAAGAATGGTCTTGTATTCCATAACAGCCTTGTAAAACCAATAGGCACAGATGGAAGGCACAATGTTCTGCAGTATTGAGGGTGAGGTTAAATGAACACAGAACAAAGACTGCTCTGGACTGTGGTTCACTGTGTTTTCCCAGCCATGTAGTCTTGGACAGGGCAGGGCTTTAGGTATGTTCATCTGACCAGCTCAAGTCTTGACAGTGACCGCAAAGCTATAGTAAAACACTGGGAATTAAACCACAACCATATTTAACACAGCAGGTACAATAAACAAAGCTTTTAAAATCTGCCATTAAGCTGGGGATGAAAGAGGAACCTACCTGCATAATTACAAATTAAAAGAACATAGATTTCTTTAAGCATCAGTCCATGACAGGTTAATAGTACAGGAGTTGGTGTCATTCCCTTGTCAAAACATATGACATCAATACATGGCCAAGAATATGTGTTTGGAGCTAATTCAGTAATGACAGTGAGTAAGCCACTAATCGCATTTTAAGAGACACCTCACATGGGGCTGTTTGCCTTGTATAAACTGTACTGCAAACGCCAAAGACCATGTTAGCTGGTTGGATGTACTGGAAGAAAGAGAGACTTACGACATGTTATTCTTGTCTGTGGCACAAGCACCCACCGCCTTTGTTACATTCACAAGCAGCGCCTGTGCAAATGACACAAATAAAAATGAATCAATACAGAAACTTGTTTTAAACATGACATGACTGTATGCAGCAAGAGATGATTCAACATGCCTCATTTGTTCCAACAAGCAGTTTAACTAGGGTCTTGATGCCTCCACACTTGTTGATGACGGCCTGGCTAGCAGGTATCTGGGCAAATTCTCCCAGGGCTCCAACTACATTTACCAGCACCTCTTCAGGCTGATTAGTCAGCAGGCCAACCAGGGTCTCCAGGGCTTTGTGCTTCTGAAACCTTGCGAAAGTGGGGAAGAGGAAGAGGGGCAGAGATCATATTAACTAATTGCATCACATTGATTCATTTATTACATCAAATGAAGGAACAAGAAGAAGAGTCTACAGCCATGCTAGAATCTTAGAGTGGCTGTTCTTAGGTATAGTGGTGGAAATTAGTACTGAAGACAAAGTACAGCTGAGGATGATGAGAATGCCATGAGATTTGCGGATAATTGGTTATAAACAAAAGTACAGGATATATTAAAAACTTGACCATAGAGAAAAAGTGAGTTATAAAAATTGTCCTGAGGGGACCATGAATATCTGTAGCAAAATTGATTGCAATAATTAATGTCTTAAATAAATAACTTATGGTGGCACAATGAAGAGTCAAGCAGTCCCCAAAATCTTTAGGATGCATCACCTGGGAGCCATGAATGTTTGTACCAAATTTAGCGTCAAATTTAAGTCACTGGCAGACAGACAGAATGACAGATCAACATTGCCATCGCTGGAGCCATCAGTAGTGTAAGTGACAGGTAGCAGTTACAGATCCTCTAGGCACTGATCTCTTACTGTATTCCAGTGGTACAAGCAGTTTTCCCACGACTGCTCACAGTTGTCCCTTGTACGTACTTTGCATAACCGAAGCTTTGCTGTGGCTTGGAAAGTCTCCCTCCCTCTTTTGCCGTGATTTTGCCTTGTTTGCCAGTGCTATAGAGTGGTAAACTATAGTAAACATTTAAAAGGGATATAATGCGGTTGCAAAAAACCTCAACAAACCTCTGATGTACAGTTAAGTTCTACGACTGTTTTTATTCACAGTTACGGTTGCTGGCATCATGGTCCGTAAGCTATTGTAGATGGCCAAGGTCATTTGGTTTTGGTCAGGGTCCACCGACAGACAGCCTATTCTTGCAAGTGAAAACACTGCTAATGAACAGAGTAGCTGCCAAAGTTAACTTCAGTGAAATTCACCATAAAGAAAAACAATGGTTTTCCTATGCCATCACTGAAGTGTCATCAGTAGTTGACTACAGTAGAATTATCTTGTAATAACAGACATAACTTTTGATAAATGAATGGTAAGTCATGTCTATTTTTGTTAAGCCAGTCCCAACTCAAGTAATTACGTGATGGCAAGAGTAGCATTACACAAAGCTGCCTGAAGCAGCTTCTACTGCAAACACTGGGCTCCACACAACTGGAAGCTTATTAAAGCCTGTCAGAAGACACAGGAACCACAGTGAGGCTTCTGTGCAGCAGATTTTTATGATTGATTGTCTGCCTTTTCCTTTCCTCATCCATCTGCACTAGTCACACATTCAACTAAGTGCAGAAAGCTTAAATGCTGCCTGACTAACTAGGGTTTTTAGGCCGGCCCAAGTTAAAATAAGACATTTCAGGGACCATGAGATGCTTAGCAGTAACCATGAAGAGAGATAGACACTCAATTAACCTGAAATTTAACATACAGCTTGATCTATTTGAAAGAAAACAGCAGAGCAGTGAATAACTTGGGTGAGCACAGAAGTTTTGTGAGGCAAGGAGAAGTATCATTTGGAGGGACAATTATGGTCCGCTCATCACAGGACTGGAACAGAGGTAAGACGGAGGAGTAGTCAGTAATTGGAAGCGAACCCCACAATCTTGACCCTAAACATTACTGCACTGGCAAATAGAGTCCAAGACTTGGCAGTTGTGACTTTCCATTGCAAAGTTATTCCCTTACTCTTTTGTTAAGGCTTTTTACAGCATTTTTGTGTCCATAACACCTCCGTATACAGGCTCTTGCGACCACATATCAATGCATCCATAAATCTGCACAAAATTATGTTTGTGTTTCCAAGCAGGACTTTTACAAAGGCAGTAAATATACTGTAACCTTGGCACAGGTATCTCATCTCTGTAATGAAAATTTATACAAAAAAACACAAGCTTATGTGGTATTTAAACAAACACGCTTAAGTTCTGAATGTTTTATAATTATATTTCAGGGCATCAATCATCTCTCATTTTGATGCATCATTAATCAGGAAAATGGATAACACATGCTGCTACTTGTCTTGAGTGGAGGTCCCCCGAGCCCTATACTGTCCAGACCACGCAAATCATCAGTCACACAAAAGAAAAAAACATGTTGTTTGCAATGGGCAACAAGGTCTGTTTCATTTGACCATGTACTTAATGAAAGAAAAGAGGAAAAAAATCCACTCTCTGCCTCCCATTATTGCTTTAGCAAAATATATTCCAAAATGATTTTCATTTCAGTACACCACTCAGCCTATGATTGATTCTGAAATGAGCGCATGCCCCTAAAACCCTGTCACCATTAGCAGCCTTTCCTTTTTGACAGTAATGGCTCAGTCACTCCATTCCAAGCTTTTGCCTGACCTAGACATTTTAAGTGATTCAAATAAGCCCGAGAGAGTATGAAAAAACAGATCCACTTACAGATTCAAGTGTGCATTAAAAACATTTGCTGTGCATCATGCTGGTTTCCTCCTGACAAGGAGGCCAATTTTCACCTTCATTCACACCCAACTGCCCACATCATCCAAAAAAACAAAATAAAACATAACACACAGGAAAAAACCACAAAATGAGAACTCTATTCATATTATGGCCCTTTGGGAAGCTCACTAACATACCTCTGTGACATGTTAAATTTAGAGTTGTGATATTTTGTGTTTGTTAATGAAGTGTCACTAAATGTGGTTCACATGTGATTATAATTATTTCTATTATTGTTATTATCAGTAGTAGCATAACTGTTTTACATCGCAACAGTATGACAAGTCATTACGTATGGCACAAGGCCTGTACTGGCAGCGAGTGTATTAAGCTGCCACATTACTCATGGCCAGTGCAGTTAACTTGTTTTATCATCAAGCCAAGCTGCAGTCAGAAGGGTTCCTAATCTGCGCCAATTTTGTTGTTTTTATAACAGTTTTTTTTTTGTTGAAAAATTATTAATAAGCCATTTTAAAAGCTCAATTTTCTACCATCAAAATAGAACTGTCTGTCTAAATAATAACCCTGCTATTCTCTTAATAATGATAAATAATCATTTAAATGAATTCCTCCAAATGATCAAATGATCAAATGATTTCTTTCATGACATGGGTTAAACAGACAGTGATCTGTCCATCTTGCTTTAAAAGAATGTTATCGTCATGCTTCTGCCTCTGCAAAGGAATCCTCGCTTAACTCAATGTGGCAGCAGACACTCAGTTCCAGTTGGGAGGACTTAACTTAGACTTTAAATGTAGGATATCATTCTGTCAGTTATGAAATATGACGTGCAGAAAGATCTGTGTGAGTGCTACTGAGCCTTTTTCTTGTTATTTTTAGAATTCCACTGCAATTTGAACTATACAGCATTTCTAAGTCAGAGGAAAAACATTTTCACATAATCTCACCTCAGCAAAAATCCTTAAACCTCAAAAACAGTCTTTATCATAAAAATGATTAAAAGACAATGTCTTATAATGTTCTTTGCTACACTGCAGAGAGAAGGTTTTGAATTGATTAATATGTTACTGAGGTATTAAATCACTGCATGTTTTTATATGTAATATCGCAGGCCTCACACTGAATAAGAAAATAAACACAGCTAAATCATTCTTTCAAGGGAGCACTGAAGGAAATGTATAGGTCTGCCAGGGCACGGTCTCCGGGCATTATTTATTTTAAAGGGAGAAAAATACTGACTTAACAATCATCTAACACTGAAGTGCAAAGTCAAAAACCCTTTCAGAACTGTCACTGCTGAAAGGCCCAAGCTAAATGACACTTAAATAAACCTCTGCTTTACATGACAAATGATAAAAGGCTCTGTCAGCCTGCGTCTTCTGACATTAGAAAATCACCATCTCGAGGCTGATTCTTTCAGTATGCCTGCGACTGGTTCAGTACTAACAGGCCTTGACTAACATATCACTGAAGTCTATAAAATCAGCACATTTACTTCAGCTTTTGTTAACGGTGGAAAAGACTGAATTCTAGCGGTAAACGCTCACATAAAAGATCAGAGTTAATAGAATCCTTACAAAAACTTTACATTTTATGCAAATAATCACTTCAAACAGACACAGCGGTAAAAGAAAGGCAGACATGACAACAGCATGCAAACGGAAAAAGTTACACAACTAGTGATGAATGAATATGAACCCCCATAAAAGTAACATATGTGATGATGGCATGACGACGCTAATGCACGCAAGTTGGCTAACCCCTTGTGTTCTGTATCCTCTGCTGATATAAATATATTCACATATTATAAGGCTGCAGTTAACCACATCAGCGTAGCAATCCTATTTTCCAGTAGTTATGGACACACGTGGGTAAAATGCCTAATTGCTATTAACCCCCTTCTACACTGAGGCTCATTAGTTTGCTGTCCTTACACACAGTAAGTGATTTGTCAAAGTCACACTAATCTGTTACCACTAATTACAGACATGTAGTCATACATCCAAAAAGATATGGCTACAATGTGTTTCTGTATCTCTGGTATGTTAAGTTTGGTTGTGTGTTATTGTGTATGCCTGTGTGAGAGGTAAAACAGTGAGACCCCTGAGCCTAGTCATACTTAGCCACATTCTCCGTGCTGATGGAACACTTCCAGATGGCCCCGGTGGCGGCGGCCAGGAGCTGCTTGTTGTTCACCTTGCCTAGCAGTGAAACCAGTGGCTGCAGACCATTGTACTTGCGCACAAGGTCACGGGTTTGCTTGTCCTCTGCACACTATAAAGCAAACGAGAGAGGATCAAGATCTATATTAATTCCTATATAGTCTGGGTCCAATGAGGAGACAAAGACATGTAAGAAAATTGTTTTGGTCCATATCCTTTTTTCCGGTTCATTCAGGTTTTTCAGAGCATAAGAGGACACAGTGTGGAAAACAGGTACCTTGAAGATTGCACTTGCGCAATGCATTTGTAGCTCATCGTTGTCACTGTTTAGGTTTTTGACCAAATCGTTGATCATGCCCTCTGTCTGAATGGCAATCCTGTAGCTTTCCTGCAGTGACACACCAATTAAAGAACCACAGAAACATGAATAATCTAAATGACATCACGTGTAACAATTTTTTTCTCATATTTTTTTCATGTGTTTATTTTTCAAATTTTCCTATTTTAAAAGACAAGTTGTAGAATGAGACTGGCAGGCTTTGTTTCACAGGCCATTGTCTTGACAACTTGTGCCACAAAAAGTGCAATCATATACCCCCCTCACCTTTGAGGAACACTCCTGCAGGGTCCCCACCACAGGGATAAGCATGTTCTCATCTCGCGACTTAAGCAATCGTCCAAGCAGCGGAATGCCTCCAGCCTTATGGATGGCCTTCTTGTTCTTGGCACTCTTGCTGCAGCTCCACAATGCTAAAACTCCACAGCGGGCCACCTCTACATCCTTCTTCTGGTTTGGAGTCAGCGTGTCTAAATTCCAGCTAAAGTCCAACAGCTTTACCTGAGCAGAGACACAAAGTACACAAACGTACATGTGGATAAACACAAACATAAGAATGTGTGCAGACAGCAGGCAGACCACATATGTTTGAGTGGAAAACCTCTCATACACACATTTACACAATCCTGATGAGCTTGACATAAATTCTAAGACTCTGAAAAGTTTCTTGCAGGATTGGTGTGGTAATGGATGGTGTCAAATAGGAATAGCAAGTTATTGGCTGTGATTAAGGGTATAATTAAAACTCTATTACCACTGAGTCTGCAAGGATGAAAAAGCCAGAGATGTTAGAAGTGGAAAACTGTCAGGATAGATGTTAATGTTAGGCCTGAAAATCCCAGTGTGACGGTTTATGGCCATCATTCAGTGTTCTAATCCATCGTTCCTGGCCAGTGAGACGGAGTAGGCAAAGCTATTACCCACAGCACAGTTCAAAGGTGGTCTTGTAGCATAGCATGAAATTAATCTGCCTACGTGAGTGACTTGCACATGAGAACATCCGATTTGGGGCTGAGGAAAATATACAAGGCATGCAGGCTTTAATCACAGGTCCCTCTGTCAACAAACATGAATGCAGGTCAGAGGATGTAAGGGACATTCTATCTGTTTTACCAAAGCACCATTTCTGGGGCTTTTTACAAATGGATGGGTCACTATCTGGCATCTGCTGTACAGAGTGAAAAGGGCATGGGTGGATGATTGATGCACTGTGCATCAAAACAGTTCAGCAACGTTTAGATATATGTTTTACACTTTAAATTAAAAGCAAATAGTAATCATAACATGTTGATTACATCGGAATAAGAAACCTTCCTGTTTTTCCAAACTTTCCAAGGTGTCTGTGGTTTAGCACAAAATGTCTGTATTAAATCAACAACTAACTGGCACAGTCATAAACAGACAAGCGTTTTAATGGAAAATCTGCATGCATAACATTTTTTTCAATAATGCCAACACAGAAAGATCGGGTTCTGGTCGGCAGTCTCTGCTGCACTCCACGCTGGCAGTACAGAGATCATGTTACACTAGCCTGAATTTACAATTTTCTGTCCTTAAACTCACCAGTTTCTTGATGCCGCCATAATGCCTGACGGTTCTCCTTGCCCTGCGGAACTTGGCCACGTTTGCGATAGTCTCAGCAGCTAAGGCCTTGAGTTCCGCAACTGGTGAGTCCAAAATCCTCACGATGTTCTGCAGACCTCCTATGTCAACAATGGTCTGACGGATTTGCACGTTGTGACTAATCTTTCTCAGTATTTTCAGAGATCCAATCTAATCGCAAACACACACACACAGAAAACATTAATAGTAAGTCTGAAACTTTAAAAATTATAGTTTAGTTTGATGGAAACCATTGTGTCCATGCCAACATAAGGCCTTCATCTAATAATAAATAATAATAATAAGAACAGGTTAAAAAACACCCACACATGTCATTAGGCATACTGGAGGGTAATTGCTACCCTGTGTCTTTAGAGGTACGCTCTCTAACCAGAACTAGTGTTTCTGTAACTAAAACACAGGCTGGCACACACAGAGGGCTCTGCTCATGCCTGCAGGCCATCCAGGTCCAGCTTTGGCACAGCTACTCACTTTGCATTTGACTTCATCTGTATCCAGCAAGTTAATGAGGACTTCAAGGCCACCTACATCCCGGATGGCCAGCTGGCACGTCTCCTGCATCAAATCAAAGTCCATCATGGCGCAAAGAGTGAGCACAGTGGCTGTCTGGTCGCCTGCCTGAAATAATAACGGCAAACATGAATGAATGAAAATGGGGAATGAAAAAGGAAGAGAGAGGAGAAAATTAAACATCAAAAAGACATTTGGAAAAGAGAGGAGGATACAGACCTCCCTCCATTACCGTGCCCCCCTCTCCCCCATTATACCACTCCTGCTGGGGTTGTATTGTTTATACCACAGCCTGGTAAGTGTTTAGCTTTGTGGTGGTAAGAAATTATTTGCTAACAGAGCATTGAGCTCTAACAAGTGTCAAGCTCAGAATCCATTAGACTTTGCCCTTAAGATAAAAAAAGAACACTATTAGCAATTTTAAGACCTTAAAGTCCCCTTGCACACATGGGGTAGGAAATACAACTGAATAGGTTTTACTGTCACTGAACTATCATGATGACTAAATAAAAAAAACAATACAGATATTTAAAATAGGGCATATGAGGTCAAATCCTGACAGCAAATCTGCCTCTATTTTACTGTTTCCCAAATCTAGTATCTAAATTCTTTGTTGTCTTTTTTCAGATTCTTCTCACGCTGAATAAATCCCTATGAAGTCCGAGCTGTGGACAGTTGTTGACAGCATTATGACACTTAAAATACCAGTCTTATCATATCAAAGTACTGCCCAGGCCATCAACAACAGTGTTTTTATATTACCATATTTAGTCTGTATCATATGCAGTTGCATAACAAACTTTGTTGACATGCAATGGTTTTGATCATGCAAGGGGGAAAAAATCAGTAGTCAGTAGTCAGTAGATAAAACAGAAGTTCATGGCACGAAAATGCAAGAGTTAGCTGCTGTAATACTAGACCTGCTACATGGCTTTGATATGTGACACTGAAACGTCCAGTCCAAAATTTCCTGGCAAGTGAACAATCAAATATTATTTCTTTTTTGCAGTGGTTTAAATGTGCCACAGATAGAATTCTCATTTAGTGGATTCAAGGACGCCTCCACCATTCAAGGCTTCATATGCCTTTATTGGTTGCACACTTCGCAAACAACTTGAGACTTCAGGGCCATCCTAAATAGATTATTTCAACCAAACATAAGAATGCAACATGTCCTGCTATCAGCTACCCACATAAGTAGAAAATAGCCCATCACTATATAGAAAGCTGGGGCAGTAATCTGTTTCATGTAGCCATTGGACGGGATGGCTCATCAGCGTAGGCCTTTCCCAAAGTTTCAAGTGGTGTTTGATCACATCTCCCTCACAAAGCAGAGCTCTGACACAGCAGGATAATGCCCACATGTTCTCCATATCATGACGCTAACCTAAATGTGAACCATTTGCCCATTAACAGCAGTGGATCTACTGCTTCCTTTGTCTCCTCTGTTCTCACTCTTCAAAGGATTCAGCAGGCACAGTTCCTACCTTGTAAAAACAGCAAAAAAAAAAGCTATGTTTAGGAGTGATAGCTGGGAGAACAGAAAACAGATCATATGCTTTCATTTTTGTTAGCTTTGGTCTTGAAGTATTGTCGACATTCTTTAAAACATTGACAACATCTGACAATCTTTTATGGTGAAAGATCTTTGACTCTCTCTGAGCATGATAGGAGCAGATGCTCAAAGTGGAATGAATTCAATCACTGTTCGACCTCTGAACATGAAATTCAAAAATTAGTTTAATATCTTTGCAGTATCATGGCAGATACTGGACGCCATGAGCTGCTGGCTTAGCATTTCAATCCTCAAGTAATAACAATTCTAAGTTTTTTTTTTTTTTTTTTTACAAGGTATCGGGATCGGGTAATCTTTATAGGTCTGCTTAATAAACCTGAGTGAGCTTCTACTACTCAAGACATTGGCAACTGCTAACAGCAGTGATGAATGTCTTAGTAAATTTTGCTGAATGGAAAACAAGATTATGAGTGCCTAGCCATGTTTGCAGCTCTTTTAGGTTGTACTTTGGCACAGTGGTGATTTGAGCTAAATGCAAAAATATTATGGTAACGTGCCAACAATGCCAATTCTAACATGATGGTGTTTAGTAGGTAACACTTACCAGGTTCACAGTGTTAGTTTATCATGCTAGCATGCTAACACATACCAGTTAATACTAAACACAAAGTGCAGGTTGGTACGAGTTGTAAGCATTTGGTCAAAAGCAAAAGAACTGGGCAAGTTGAAATTTCAACATGATGATGGCACTAGATGAAAATTCAGAGGATCAAGTCATTAGAGTCTATGCTCTATGGAACTTGATTATCTGTAACTTTATCTGTAAATTTCACACCATTCGATCCAATAGGTCAAGATGTTTTACTCAAAACCAAAAACTGCCAGATGTCGGGGACATCTGTAGCAAATTTCAAATAGTTCTCAAGATATTTCATTCTGAATCACGACTGTCAACCTCATGGTGGTGTAAGATGAAAGGTCAGGTAATCAGCAAAGTCAGCTGGATTCATCCTCTGAGGACCAAGAATGTCTGTACAAAATATTATGGCAATCTATCCAAGAGTTTTCTGGACCAATGTGGTGGACCAACTGACTGACATTGCCACCCATAGAGCCATGCTGCTAGCATGGCTGAAAAATAACTGAATAATACAAATCACTGAGGTAAAACACAGAAGATTTTATAGATGATTGTATAAATGCTTTATCCCCTTGTCTTATGGAATTACATGATTCAAATGGTTTCAGAGCAGATTAAGAAGTATGAAGGAATGAATTCCATCCATGAGGGAAACTTGATATCAGCCACTTAAAGATGCTTTATGCATTTTGTCTCTTCCTTTGCTGCAGGTGTCTCGGCCAGAGCTACTAAATAGCTGAAGCCTTCACTCTACTGAATGGAGGTCTTATTCTAGTCTGGTTCCTCTGCAGCAGCAGACTGGATTCTTCAGACACAGACTGCCCTGCCTGAGCCACTCCAGGCCTATAAATCACAGCACTAAGCATGTGGGAGCAGGGGTAGTGTTAATAGGGCTGTAAATGATACCCTGTTGACCTCAGGCCCTTTTCTTAATGGAGTTTTGTTGTGTATATTTTGTGCACAAGTGTGTGTGTGGCATGGACCTCATGCCAACAAGGGTGGACATGCATATTGAGTATAAGTGCTCAGATATGTAAGAGTGTATGTCATGCAGACTCGGGCCACTGCCAGTGCTTCATAGAGCTCAGTGTAAGGGAGAAGTACTGGGTCTTGGCAGAGGTCAAGCCATAGAGGATGCATGAGGTTTCATACGTCTCTGCAGTCTACAGCAGACTTAGAGGGAACACTGCTAATGACAAGAACAAACCCAATCCTCCTGCTCTATTATGGGAAAGGTACTGTGGGACAGAATGAATGATTACTGGTTGTTTTTTACTTCATATTTGACATAAGATCTCTAACAACATAAAACTTGATCACTTAATAGGCCTTGCTGTCATAAAATGAGTGCAGTGCACAGTGAGCAAATGTCTAGTCACATCTTTGAGTTGAAAAGTTGCTTAACTCATGAGAAAGAATGATGTCATTATTCTTAAAAGTAAATTATCCAGATTAAACAGGTAGTGAATGCATTACAAGCAATAACAACAATGTTTTAATCGCATAAAAATGCCTTACTACTGAGAGCATAATTAGCTACAAATTTATTTTTTTTATATTTTAAATGAGCTGATACTGGCGACTGTTCATTAGAGACAGGAATAGATTAGTGCAGCAATCAATAGAAGGGTTCTGTAGTACTATGACTGCCCAGCAGAGGGGGAGAAACCTTAATGAGTCCTGACACAAAAACATCCAGATCATCTTGTTTATCTATAAAACTTTTACACTTTTATAGTAATAGAAGTAAAATTTTAAAGCCATGGAGAAATGTTGCACTAGTAGTGACACCTTTTGAAAGCTGTTTCATGAAACTTTTCTTTTAAAAGAAGGATGAAAAAGGCATCTGCCCAGAAAAACAAGTAAAATATGAAAATTGGAAAAGGTCAATTATGAAAATGTTTACAACACACAATATTGCAATGTTTACCTGTTAACTAGTAACATCTTGTATATCAGACACAATATTTATATCTGTGAGAATATGAAAATTGTTTTGTGTTTGGAAAACCACAGGCCAACCTAACTGATAGCAGCTGGTGAATTTTGTTTTTAAACACAGACAAAACACATTTTGACATTTTCTGGCTTACTTGCTAGAGTTAAAATTGCTAAGATTTTCAGTCCTGACTAGTAAAACAACCCTTTAACCCTTAACTTACCCTTCCTTGTTTCCATAATCTACTGAAGGCCTAAATTTTGTAGATAACTATATAAATACAGTATACAGCCCATAAATATAAATGCTTAAATATAAAGTATGATAAAATGTTTGCTTATACTGTGGCACTGATGCATTACAGAATGGAATAAGGAGGGTGAAATATGTTTAAATTCATCTCCCATGTCACTAAGTTACAGACATCTCCTACAGTACATACACTGCACCAACACAATCACACAATATAAACCTATGTGTGGTAGCCATAGACTTAAAACTGCGCAGTGGATTTTGTGAGAGACCATGTAACCATTTTACAGGCGCAGATCTCCAGTCATACAGGTTTAAAAACAAACACATTGGAACCCTAAGCAAATATTCCTACATAAATATCATTAAAACACAAAACAGAACATCCATGTGTTGCTTTACGAAAGTGTTAAACTTCCTAGAGTACAAACGGCTGTCTATAGTGCAAGGGAAAAGGGGAAAAAAGATCTCCTCCTAAAATAAAACAGATATTTAACTTGGCTCATGGTAAGTTTCAGCGTCTGATGGTAATGATATTATAAAATGACTACTGGACAAACCCCATAAATAACTGCGCTGTGCGGTTTCCAGAGAGATAGAAAGCTGGGACATGTTGGTTACTGCAGTGCTGCATCTTGTTGAAGCAGGAACACACACACAAACCTAAAGCTTACAATCCTGCTGAAAAGTATAAAATACACAAACCAGTGAGTTTTTTTTTTTTTTTTTTTATCTGAATTTGCCTCTTTCATATCGTTTAAATCTTTTTTTCCTTTCTGGAAAGGAGCAGCGGCCTGCTTTTAGAGTGGGAATTTCCTTCCATTATATTCTATTTTGCTAAGCTAAAAATATCTACCTCAAATTGAACTTTACAGCGACATTTTCTATAAAAGATTTACTCAGTTGTACTGTGACCAATCTTATTTAGCACCAAGCCACAGAACTCAAGAACACAAATCCTATACTGTATAAAAATATATGTACACTATAACTACATGTTGAAATACCATTAACTCATTTAATTTTCTTTAAATTGATGCAGCATTTAAGGTATTTTTACTGCTCAACAGTTTTACAACTTGCAACAAAACAGACTCCTGTCAAAATAAAGTAAATGCATTCCATTTTAATATAATCTGTCTAAATGATATTGTCCAGATAAACAGATAATAGTGAGGCAGGATAATCTCAGAAGTCAAGTGGTCGGAGGTATTCCCAGCCAGTCTGGGTCATTGGTGTTTCTGTCCTCTTTTCTTTTCCCTCCATGTTTTGACACATTAATATTCACCATATGCCCTGTCAGACCTATCACGGGCGCGCTTCATTTTTATGCTTCTGCGGTGTGGGCAAACAGTGAGTACAGCTGCTGCCGTCAGACAGCTCTTTCCCCCAGCTCACATGTGCAACCAAACAGGCCTTTGTCAGAAACCAGGAATCCATGAGCCGAGCCAACCACTTCAATAGGCATCTTCCTACAAAGTGCCGCTTTAAATTGGAGAAAGCTAAACCTTAAAAAAAGAGGATGTCAAATGAAAATCTGGCATCCTCTTTTTCAGTTTGTGACACCTTGTGATGACTGAGGCAACACAGACAGGTGGGATTGAATGATTGGAACATTACCTTTTGTGATCCCATATAACCAGGTTCTTCTGCACAGCCATTACTAAATATTACTTTCCGTGCTCTGCTGTTCAGAATAAGGTTTTTGAAAATTGAAAACTGATTCAGGTTAGCGTCGAAATTCTTGTACAGATGACAGGAAAGGAGCATGGACTTTACTGTTTCCTGTCAGCTGTGGCCTGCCTTCACCTGCAGTACTACAGCTCTCTGTACAAATTTCTATTTTGGTTTTAAATCCATTAGAAAAAAGAAACAGTCCAGGGGGACATTCCCCTACCTTGAGGTACTTGACCAGTTTCTGGATCTGCCAGTATTCTGGGGGCAGGTCTGTGTCACTCTCCACACGGCGCTCTGACTGCTCCTCTTCCTCCTCACTCTCCAATGAACTCTCACTGGAAAGTTCCACTGGCATGGCGCCTGCTGGGGTCTTACTGAATAAAAAAAAGAGCAGATAACAGTGCACTTTTGACCGCAGATAACAATCTACCAAGGTGTGGGACAGTGTAATAACTGGACAACACATAGCCAGACAAAAGGATGCAATATAATATCATGAAATGTGTTTTCCGGTGTGGAAAACAGCTTGGTCATCCCACACAAGAAGACAGATTAAGGTTTTTGAAATTCAAGTGTCAAGTTTGAACTTCCTCAGAATCAAAGCAGTAGGAAAATAAAGACTGGAATAATGTCATGGGAAGACTGGAGTCGTCATCATATACAGAGCAAAGACTCATGCTAGGCTATTGATGCAAACAGAAATGCAGATGGCTTTTTAAAGTTGCTTGGGCTGCTTGGATAACTGTATCATGAAAATTGGGCACTGTGGAGTAATGAAATTTGGTACACTTTCATATGGGGCCGCTGAGAGACAGTTCCCATGTACATACAAATAGCATTTCCAGGGGAGCATATTAGTGGAAGGAGCCAGCCGATAGGAGGGAGTGTTTTCCAGGAAGAAACAAGATAAACACTAAGCAAGACCTTCATTAAACTGCCAGGTCTACGCACTGTCCTGGGTGGTGTGTAGTCAAAATTGTGACTTAGTGAATGCACCCTGAGGTCTTTGTTGCATGTACACCAAATGATGAGCGGAACAAAATAAACAGCGGCGAGAATCAGCTGCTTTGATTTCTGATGCTAGCAACCATGTAAACAGGTTCTTGTTCAGCACATGGGCTGATAGATTTGCAAGTTTACACTTTCCACTTCAGATTTCATTGCTGGTAAAACAGTATTTTGTTCTTTTTCTCAGTACCAAAATCCTGTTTAAGTTACTCCACCTGCAGAGACAGAAAGAGCCCTGATAGATTCTGATGAAGGAGAACTAACGCAGGACACTTACATTTTCTGGGAGGACAGGCGTCCAGGTATAGAGGACACAGAGAATTCTGCTTTGATCTTGCTCTTGGCTCCCAGTCCCAGCTTTTTCTTCGGCATTGCACCAGCAGAGCTCTTACTAGATTTCTTTTCCTCTGCTTCACTGTAATGATGTGAAATAAGAGTCATTATGCCTGCTTCTATTTTGAAAATGGTTATTTTTCTAACATAATCATTATTTAACAACTTGAGACTAGAGTTCAGCAGGGTTTTTTGTTTTAGCTGTAGAGATACTTTTATCTGGAGCCAGTTTCTCCTCAAATGGGTACAGATATCACAAGGTACAGCTGCAACAGCTCAGCTCTTGCTAGATCTATTTATCAATCAAAGACCATATGTGACAGATCTTTTGGGGATTTTTTTCTAAGAGTTTTTTTGTCTGTAATTGGGCAGAAAGGGTTTCCGCACTGTGAATGTATTTATTAACTCAGATCATTGTGTAATCGGGAATATTTGCACTTGCCCTAAAATTTATAAACCATATAACCATCTCTTTATAATGTGTGACTGCTGGCAGACACACTGAACACATGTGGCAAAGCTTGGCATCACTGTCATCTAAAGCTCTCCTCCTCAACAAGAGGAATCCCCGCCATGCACAGCATGTGGTAGGCTGAAGATATTTCAGGACACATCTTACGAGGAATTATCACATACCAACTTGGAAACGTGAGACCAAGATTCTTCCATCTCGGACATGGTACATAAAACTTCTCGCGGCCTGTCTTGTACAGCGTCTGCTGTTGTCTCGCCTTGTCATGCACATTCTTTTCCTGTTGCTCGTAAGACCTCTGGGGTTGGCCTTGTTCCTTCTTATCAACCGATTCCACATGCTGAATCCTTTGTGTTGATGGAAGTTCTTCAACTGCAAAATCCTGTTGGTAAGGGGAAAAGACAGAGGCTGAAGAGTAAGAAAAAAGACTCTCTTGATTTGCACCAAAATGATATGTGGTGAGATGCTGTGTACTATAAATTTCCGTGTATACTTGGGCTGTAAATTTCTCTGTATGATGCGTATCAAAACAAAATATTCCTTCTGATGTTCACTTGTGCTTCTTGTGAAACTGTGCACTATACTTTACAAAGTGTTGGCCATTTCATATCCATGAAGAGATTTTTTAAATAAACAGAACAGTATCAGTGACACATGAAAAGCATAAAATTCACATAAAAGCTTTTGCTCAACATCATGCAGGCGTGCATAACAATTCAGCCTTTATTGAGGTATTGGAATTAAACCTCACTTTCCTGACTGCTTTACACAGAATAGGTCCCCCTCTGTTAATTGGCTGAACAATATCAAAAAGTTTATTGTTTCTGTACATTCCTCCACCTAAAACCTTGCAGCATTGCACAGACAAAGTAATGCCTTTGTGTCACTGTTATTCGGTTATGATTTTTTTTTCAAGCTCTGAAAGTCTTTATACCAAACTTTACAACCTATATATGAATGCCAATAAGACACATATGAATGGTTAGCAGGCAGGAGAGTTTTTAATCACAGACACCTGCTCTGCAGAAATAGCTCAGTCTGTCATTGGTTGTTAGGGGCTCAACATTTTTAAGGGAAGGGAAAAAGAATTAAGATGCATTTCTATGGGTTGTGTTCACGCACAAGCTGGAGCCAAGCATGCCCAATCACTTTTCCAAAGACTTGTTTTTCATAAAACACAAAGTGACCTGCTATTGGAAACATAGAAGTCAATTCACCCAACCACAGACGCACAGTCTGACTTTATTAGGCTAACCAACATTTTTTAATTCTATTATATGTGAAATGGACAAAGTCCATGTGCATACGCAGAAGGGAACAGTACAAATTCCCTGACATGCCACAGTAAAACATCCTATTACAGGTGGCTTTCCGCAGCTGAAAACACTATAGGCTTAGAGACAAATGCTGTGTTAAGCCAGACTGACGCCTGTAGTTCTACACTCAAAATACATTTTTATGGCAGGTGACATTCAATTATTCGCTCTTATGTATTCATTTGTCTTTTTTCCAAGCAGTTGACTACTAAAACCTAAACCTCAACTATTTACATATGTTTGAGGCCGGCTTGTATCTAATTACTTGATCCATATTGATGGAAAATCAGCAGGGAGGCAAATCTGAAGCCATTGGCCATAAAACATCTGTCAGTGGCATGATTCAAGCAGTTTCTACTGACTGATTATGACAGTGAGCCAGTCTATATTAATTTCAGGATGTGAATAACAAAAACAAATCTACAACCCAGGGAGTTTTTGCTTTTCAGTGAGTGTCTTATGCATGCAAATACACAGCATGTCCAATTTCCAATCACGCTGTGATGTCAAAACAAATCCACAACACTGAGGAAAGAAGGCGAGTCTGCTTCCTCCCTGCGTTGCAGCCCCCGTCTCCTTTGGCTGCCTCTGCTCATCTGATTGAGGCTGTCTAATCTAATCGAACTGTTAAAAAAGACCTGCTTCCTCACATTGGAAACGAGCAGATATGTTTGGAGATTAGGTGTTGTTATCTTTGGCTACCACTCCCCCCAACTTTGGACTCTCCATGTTGCAATCAGGGAACTAAGCCAGGGCTATATGAGATTGTGTTTCTGACAGACACTTCTGCTATTACACTCTCAAATTCAAACTGGAATGGATCATGTCAACAAGATCACAAGATTAATATGTCAGACATAGGATGCAAATGGCACCATTTAATTGCTTTCGTCATCAATCAATCAAATTAAGATCTAAGCAGTGCATTCTTAAGGGGTGGTTAGCTGAAAGGCAGAGAGAAGATATTCAGCAGTGAGTGACACAAAAGTTACAGGACACCACACAGCACATGCCAAAGAGTTAAGGAATTGAAAAAAAAGACCTTGACAATGATTTGTGCCTCCACAAACTGGTTCACAGTAAGTTTTACTGCGGCTGTCTGTCATTTTTAGATGATCCAGACTCAAGGCATCACTCTTCACACAGGACTCATAAAACATAAAAGCCTAAATGTCTTTCCTTTTTTTTTTTTTACATGGTTCAGCCTGGCATTACTTGATGGTTTGTTAAAGCCTTCACTAACCCCGTTTCAGATATTATGCCACCTTTAGATCTATCACCTACTTTAAATAATCACACAGACCAATCACAATTTCACAAATATAAAGAAAGCAATATTCTAAGCTATTAAAATGCACTATAAAGATGCTGTAATGTTAACATAAAAAATACTGCAGCCATCTAAAATCACTTCTTCACTCATTCACTACTCCCTATATAATAGACACTGATTAGTTTACCCTGTAAAGGAAAGTAAATTGAGATTCCTGACACTTATCATAATCATTTTGCATCATCACTGACAGGAACAAAATCTCACATATATATTTTTGCATCCATAAAATGAAGAGCACAGCATTGCAGGATTGTCAGCAAAAAATAGAAGTACTTGTCATGGGCCTTATGTGGTCATTTTTGAGGGCGCTACATGTCTAAGCTTTACGCTCTTTTACTAATAGGGAGTGACTGCAGGCAAGCAAGTGGTACCTTAAGCTAAATGCCTATATCATACGTCATAGTGAGCATGCTAACACGCTCACTATGAAACATGCTGATGTTTGGAAGGTATAAAATTTACCACATTCACTACCTTAGTTTAGCATGTTGCAGAATGTCTGTGCCACATTTTGTGTCAATCAACCTAGTAGCTGTTGCAATATTTCACTGGATAAGTGAAAACTGGTGGCGGAAAAGAGGAAAAGTTAGGAACTCATAAAAGTGATTAGGATTCATCCTCTGGGGAAAAGGAATATCAGTCCAATAGTTGTTGAGATATTTCAGTCTTGGCCAAAGTGGTAGATTGACATGCTACCAATACAACCATGTTGTGAGTGTGGTTAATAAAAACGATTAAGCGCCAATGGCTGTCAAAGACAACTTACAGCAGTCAGTGTATTGAGTGACTGTCAGAATAAACCTTAACATGGAAAATCCCCTAAATGGCCTTTTTTAATTTTGTTAAAATATTTCTGTTGACTTTTGTCCCAAAAGCACTTTGCAAGCAGAATAGTTAAAATAAATTATCTGGCCCTTCAGAAGTCAAATAGTTTTGAAAAATTATTGGGGGAAATCACATTTACATATCAGTCCTTGTAGACAATGGTAAATTCTTCACTCAAACAGATGCACTATTGATTCTTGCTTTCAGAGTACAATTTGCACAGTGGGTAAATAATATTGTTTTTCATCATCTTTACACAGTTCATGCTCAGAATAACATTATAACAAATCAAAAACAAAAAACTATACTGTAAAAAGGGTATACTAAACTAGACTATACTAATGCCTTTTCCTTTTTTAATACAAAGAGCAAATGTCCATTCAGAGCAGTAGTGGTCTTTAAAGGCTCTGATGAGCTCGTAATGACACCACATTTTCCAACAAACATCAGCATGAGTGAGAAAAAAAAGATCATATTTTCAAATGATTAACAGATTTCTGAGAGCAGCTGGAATATATTATTGAGGTGATTTGTTATGTCATCAAATTACTAAAGCAGGAAATAGCACTACTGAATCCATATTTCAATGTCTATAAATGTGTGTGTGGAGGGGGTGGGTGGAGGGTGGTATGGGCCTCAGTCTTTTTGATCTTGGAAGAGAGAGGTCATTTCAGAAATTGTTCAGTACAGTGACAACCAGACACTAGCTCACTGGCATGGAACAGCACAGACCCTGATTACACAATCCTAACTCTGTTTATAAATATGAGTCACACAGCATCAGTGATCAAATCAGAGGTTTAGAGAGAAGGACATTGTTCATGGGACAAAGAGGCATTTCAACACCCACGCATCTTTGCTTTGAGAGCTAAAATTGAAGGCAACAAATAGGAGGTTTTAATATGTTGATGATAATTGCATCTGCCTGTACCTGTTTGTTTATATTCTCAGCAAAATATGGAGATTGGCTCTTGAGAAGTGTTACCAGGTCTTTGTACATATCACTTGTTCGCTCGTAGCCACTCTCCGCCCTCTCCTGTTTTATGCCCTGTGAAAACAAAGTGAAAAACAGCCTCATTAATCCTAAAAACCACAATTATAATGTGACCCACATGTCAGCTAGAACAGCTGAGGTTAGAAGGCTCAGAGAATCTCTAGCCAGGCTCAAAGAGGAAGTGTAAAACCATGTAAACCAGCAAATTAGGTTTAAGACACTATAGCTCTTTGAGGTTTCTTTTACATCAATGTCACCCATTTGGTGTTAGGTTGTAGTTTTTTCACCTTGGCTGAACTATTTCCAGGTGAAGAAACAGATACAGGAAGCCTATGGCTTGTCAGCAAAGTCACTGAAAAAGTGAAAGGTGCTGCAGAATGCAAAATCTAAGAAATGATTGCAAACACATTCAGAGAGATTACTGACACTTAGAAAGTATTTCATAGATCTCTATACAATAATACTTTTAGGGAACTTTTGAGGGGACCTTTCAAGGCCAAATACTTAGACAGTTATGTGTAAAATCTCCATCAGTTTTAATGTTTTACTGCTGATACAAATATTAATTACAGTATGTTAACATCAGAAAACATTGATAACTTAAATTTTGTATTTTGTCAAGTGACACTTGTATTGTAAATATTCTAAACCGATAACATGTCTACCTTTCTTAGATTATGGAGATCTACTCTTCATGAGTGCATCTATGTTGGATACAGTATACTACTGTGCTCTACATTTTATTACTGGATGTAATTATCTTATACACCACAGTAAGTATGTAGACGTGCCTGGTACAAGGGTCGACTTATACATATAGTTCCTCCTTACCTGTGTACATGTACTGTTTATGTATAGCCTTTGTTCTATGCTCTACAGATGTCAATTCCTCCATTTAGGACAAGGTTGGGCATGAAAAAGCTTTTAAATATGCTGCTCCTTCCAGGTGGAACAATGTACATGGGACTTAATATTGTCAGGAGCAATTACTTGTGGTGAACACAAGTCCGTCTCATTTTTCTGGAAAAAAGCATTCTTGGACAATGTTTTTGGTACTAAATGTATTGTTTTTACTTAATTTTGGTAGTTTTGGAAACTCTTAACTGTTTATATATCTTAACGGATGTCTGTACTCTTTTGTAGCAGGTGACAGTTGTCAATCTGTTTATGTTGTCTGATTTATTGCTGTAACAATGTTTTCATGCTGTCTGCTTGCCCAGGCCTCTCTTGAAAAAGATTTTAATCTCAAAGAGACTTTTACCCAGTTAAATAAATGATCAAATATAGAATGACAGCTATACTCTGTTATGAATTTTGGTGGTCTGGATTTTGTTTACATTTAGATCACTGATCATACCTTTGGTTAACATGACACCAACTTTCTGTAGGAGCACTGTATTGTTTATTAAGCATTGAATATTATGCTTGTTGTCTAACTTTGGAGTTATGTGGCTCCAGCAGTAATTCATCTAGCTGAATCAATGGTCTGACGGACTGTCTCAGTAACTACATTTGGGAAGGTCTACCTGCACTCCTACCTACATTCAAGATTTATGATTGAAAAACAGAACAGAATAAATCTTTTCAAAATCCCTGGAGCGCAATAACATACAGAGGTGAATTAGCTGCCACTTAGCTGACTGTGCAATAATGAATTGGTCTGTCAGAAATTATTTGCCAAAAGGCTGGTTTACTTCTTGATAAGTAACCTCTCTGAACGTTTTCTCACACAGTGAAAAGAAACAATATTACGTCAACTCTTGCAGCTGATGTAGTCTACAGTTCTTTATCTTCTTAGTCTTACCCCATTGACAAAAACTCCGGTGGTGCTGCAGGTAATGTAGAGGTCTTCAGTGTCACAAGTTTCAATTACAAGGTGACAAATCTCACCATGCACCTGTCTCCAGAGGGGGGCACGGCAGCCATTCGCAAATTCATAATCTAAAAAAAACAAGGTAAAGGGAAAAAAAAGATTAAACCAATAAATTTTGCACCAAACTTTATAATATATATTGGAGCATGGTATCAAGTCACAACAAAGGGACTAGCAGTGGAGCAAAAAGACAAATCATAAGAAACGTTTGAGCTGCTAAAGAGACTGACATAGCACTCAAAGGTCCACAGGTCTGAGGCATTAGCCCAGGTTAGAGACAAAGTTTAACTTGCTATATAAGTCACCCACTAAAAATAGAGCCACATAGTGACCATCATATTATAAATCTGGTTTGGAGAGTATTTTCATAGAAGGTGTCAATTCAACCTGAAAAAAGGGGACATAGACTGCATTTATCACTTGGTGTGCACATGCCGATGGATGCTTTGCTAGGGCATGATAAATACATTGCAATTAAGAAAAAAATATGCACTGACTAATGACTGGAAACCGACAGATATAATGACTTCCATGTCTTTTGGTGCAGCAGAACACAGGCTTCTTATGCTTTGGAGTATACTGCATTAGCGTTAATAGCAATTCCTTGCAACCCAGTAAAATGTGGAGATAATTCAAACCTGATGTGTATCGAACCGACTTCAACACCCTCTTTTCCCCTTCACTGCAGAACCGTTTCAACAACTCCATGTCATTCTTTACTGCGGTGGGGTCAAGCCTGACTTGCCTGTAATGAAAATGTAGAAAAACAAAACAAAACAAATATCCAATTCATCTTGTTCATTCATGGTTACTTTTATAAACGTGCTGCCTGTTCCAATCAGACAAAACCACATGTTGGAGTAAATCTGAGTGGATCTGACTGAAAGAGGATGTATGATGGATGGGAAATTTGACTGCGTGTGAGGAGAATAGGAGATAAAAGAGAAACACCCACTCTGATATTTTTTCGAGAAGCTTGCTGAGGAGCTGTTTGTCCATATTTTGGAGCAAGTGAAAAAGCTTGACCTTGACCTCTGAGTCCTTTACTTGGTCTTTGCCTACCAGATGCAGCACATCGGTATGGGGGCCTTCTCCGTCCAACATGATAGCAAAGCAGGGACCAAGAATCTTCACCACAGGATCTCTATTTTCTAAACAATAAGAGAGGTTAGCCTTATCAAACCTTCAGTATCAGATGCTGCTCAGTGTTTCTAAAAATGTGAGTTGGGTTAATTTTGAAGTAACAATACAGCAGACCTATGATGTACTGTACTGTACTGTTTTTCCACACACATTTCTTTTCACAAACTGAGCCAACATTCCCGCTCTATAAAACATCTACCAGCAATGAAAATGAGTTATAACATATTCATCATGTATACCTCTGTCAGACAAATAAATATATGGTCTTATCTCTTTTGGCAGTGGCCCTAAAGTAAATACATATCTGTAAAAAAAAAAAAATACCAATGGCAGCATAATTGGATGGTTGTAGACAATAACAAAGAGGACAAAAAAAAATTAAGTCTGTGGATTATGGAGGAATGCTTGTGGCCGGACTACTTGGGATGTAAATGAGAATCAAATCTCATCTTGTGGTCATTGTGCTTACCTTCTAGACATGCTCGAACCTCCTCCAGCTTCTTATCATCTGCCAGATGAACCAGTTTAGCGAGCTGGCTGAAGCTGCGTACATAAACAGTAGGTGGGGAAAGCTTCAACAATGGAAGCCCTTCACTGTCTTTCTCATGGGACTGTACATCCAAGTCACTGTGGAGAAAAGAAAATGAAAGAATTGACACACCTCAGTATTATCTCTTTTATCATTTGTTTTGTATTAGATTATAATAATAACAAAGTAATAATCATATAAATGCCAACAAGATCAGACTGTATTTTTGTTTTTATACTCCTCTGTTTCCTAAATGTGAGCTACAAAGCTAACCACACACTGAAAGTAGACCATACTTTCTGATGAAATAAAATGGAATGTTCTCAGTCTTGCTGAAGCTGAAAAACAAATTAATTATGGCCTACTGCTTTGAGTACAGCAAAGGTAAAATACATTTGGACACCATGGTGACAGCATATCCTGCACAGACACGTAATACTGAGAGCACTGGCCAGCCAGCTGCCTGCTTCATGATTAGACTAACCTGATGTCATAGTCTGTTTTGAAATCAGATGCCACTAAAGTGGTACTCCATTGGAGCGGTGCCTCGAACACATGCTCTGCCTCCTGTGGGTGTTGGGAGCTGAACTGCTCCACAAAGCACAGGATCTCTTTCAACAAGGACTCATTCATCGGTGTGAACTCCAGTTTGCCAGTACCAGAGCTGGTCCACTGGGCTGCCTTGGTCAGTGATGCTCCCATTTCACCGGCAGGGATATTCTGAAACTAAACACAACAACACACTCGCTAACGTGACACCGGTTAGCAAAGCTGACACTGCTCACTACCGTTAGACCCGTTAGTAAAGGTGACACTGATGCTGACCGTCTTTAGTCAACAGTAACCAAAATACAACCATGTTCAGCTTTTCCTCATTAACATAACATAAAGTATGTTTCTGCCATTTTCTGTTACACCCATAAATTAACTGAAGTACAAACTTACCGAGAATTTCAAGTTGCTTTTCAATTTTAAAGACTTTACCGACAGTTTTCGTCACCGGTGTCCATGGAAACCGCAGGCTCAAGTTCCCTGGCATACTCGGCCCCTTTGGTTGCTATGATACAGCCAAACACAACGGACAGCGAGTTGGGTCAAAAATCGCCATACTCAAACTTTAAAATTTAAAGATGAAACTGAAATAATCCACAAAGAGGAAGGGAGTCTGTGTGTTGCCATTGATATCCTGTTCGGTGTTTGCATTTTTTTTTTTTTTTTTTTTTACAATTTAGCACATAGTGTCAAATATTCAGTGGTTTTATAAGTCACATATTCAATGAAATGCAGGGTGGCATTCCTTTCAGGCTCGGCTAAAAAGGCTACTTGGCAATATTAAATATGCACTGCCAGCATTTGCAATCTACTTGTGTTAAGCCTAACTTTAGATATGGTGTTGTGACCGTCATGGTCAGAGACTCTAAAATGTTAAATCAAATGTTGTCATAATAATAAAAAATCCCTGTGTGCCTTCCTTTTAGAGTGTCCACATGACCGCATATTTGAGAGCCTATTTCCTCTCTCAGTGCTGGTCTGGCACTGACCTGCAGGCAAACATTGGGTAGTGAAAACAGTCTATTTGGGTGGATACTCTCTGTTTAGACACAGCAAATGAGTTCACTCAGTTCAACATTAATAAACGTTACATCAATCAACACAGGTACAGTATGTTGAACCTTATTCTTGACATGTAGAAGCAGGGGCAACATATTTTCAAGTGGAAAAGCCAATGATACATATTATATTTTTGAACATGTAAATAGGCAATAACACTGTTCTCTCTGTTATATGTTAAATCTTTTTTTTTCTTTTTTCAAGACAAAAGCAATGCTCAAGAAAATTCTATGTTGAACTATTTTTTATTGTGCACACTGAGACCATCCTTACTCAAAAGTGACATGAAACAGAAACAGAAAGATATTGTCAAGCCCCATAGTAGGCAGGTTATACAAGTTCAAGCATGCTCCCAGACACATGATTTATAAATGGGGTGCAGACATGTTTTCATTCAATGTGATTAAACTTCTTCCCTCTTAAAGAACAATTCTGTGTCCTTATTGTATGGCAGCTGCCCACCTATGAAGTCCTAAGGCTGACTGAGAGAAGGGGTATCTCATGTCTGGTGAAACCACTGATTTCCTCTGGTACAAGCCTTGCTTGGCATACTGTCTACCAGGAGCGCCAATGGCACAGAGACCTATCCCTCCAGCCTGGCGTGCATGGCGGCACAGGTGGAACTACTTTATCTCCTAAACCGTTGGGGTAAGTTGGACTGAGCCTGCATGTAAATCAATCACCAGAGATCCCCCGAAGGAGAGAAGTAGTAGCTCATCTCTAGTATCAAGAGATCATTCTGGATGTTGTTGTTGTTAGAGGACTGGATTTATGAGTTTGCCTCCCCCTCCAGGTATTTTATTTGGAACAAGGGGAAAGCTGTCTAAATTAAGAAGCATTGAGAATCTGTAACGTGGTGCTGGAGCTGGTGCGGCTGAAGGCAGTGGAGCTCAGACATACCAATGAGTGAACTCAGACGGAGCTGACGTAAAGCGTGTGCATCTGTGTGTGTCTGAGTCTGAAGCACTTGGGAGAAAAAAGAAGTGAAGAGGGATTGAAGACTAAAAGAAAAAAGGGAAGAAAAAGCAGGACAAACGAGGGTCTTAATACATCTAACCCAGGGTCTCATTAGCGAGTCTAATTGCTGTTTGTTAAAAGGGATTAAATGAAACCTTCTCCCCAGCTTGGGTCTTTTACAAAGTAAAACAAATATGCTCCAAGCTCAGAAGCACCTGCTCGTTCTTAGATGTTCTCTGACTAAAACTTAATACAGCATAATAAACACAACTGCTCTCCATGCTATTTCTCCAGTGCATGAGTTCAGTCACTGATTGAACTGCATGGAAACAGTCTGATGACACACGCAGAAAGGTACAGAGGCCAAGCTTCTTTACACATGGATATCATGATTGCATCCGTTCACAGTGTGTCCAACCTCCACAACACTCCATTAACACTCAGATTAAACATACACAAAGCCTGTGCGTGAGTAACAAGAGTGATGATGAGGAGGTACACAGACTACTGTTCCTGCTCCTGGTCTGGAGAGAGCTAGAGAGCGTGTCTCCTGTATTTTTATTCAGGCATGGATTCGTGATCCGCGGGGCTCTGATGTTTTTTCAGGCGTCATGTTAAATCCAGTTCAGTGCGGCTCATAGTTGTGCGGTTAAAGCAGGGAAGGAAAGGGGTGACACTGGTCATTGTAATGAGCACCTGCGAGATGTGTCGCACTAATCCATGTGAGGTTCTAAAATAGAAAACAGTAAAAGTGAGTCTAACAAGAGGCCATGACCACATCCCCTGGTTGTAAAAAAGCTGCAGAATCCCGTCTGTCCTTTCCCATAATCCTCTGTGATTTTAGGCATGGAGGATAACGGGCAAGTGCTTTTAAACAGGATTCAGCATGGGTGACTTATGATGGACAAGAAGCCTGAAGACCTGTCGTATAACTTTCTTCCAAGGAACAGTTTATGGCACACATGTGGTAGACTGCAATGTACTCTGAGTCACTATTATTTTAGTTTTTCCTTTTTTTAAAAAATCTGACAGACAATGGTGAGATCATTCAGTTGTTATGAATAATTGCCTTGTTCATTCACTGTTTAACTAGGCACCGTGGTTAAAGTAGCCAGTGGGAAAATGTCTAGGGTCCTGCTCACACTGAAAAAGAGTGATAACAGAAGCAAAAACAGAAGTGTCAAAGAAAACTGAACAAGATTGTTCCTCAAACACACAAAGCCTGAAGATCATCTCCATGTTAACCAATGATTGTGTGTCTTTACCCATCAAAATAAAGGCAATTTCACATTTGGTAATAACAAAAAAAAAAAAATTACTACAATGTTTGATGCATAATGTTCACTAGATGAAAATTAATCAAAATTGGTTCTAAATGAATCTCAGTAAACAAAACCTGATACTGCTGAGAAATTTTTTTGCAACAATATCGTTGCTTGAGCTTCTTATGAATATAAACCTGCAATTGTGGTTTTCAAATACTGTGTACAGTATGTATTTCAAGTGGCGATCGCATAGTGCCAGTGCTTTCTTTGGAGTGGATAAACGCTTGTCAAATATAGAAGTAAGACAAGATTTATGGCCAGAGGGCTTCTGGGGGGGAAACCAATGACAAAGTCTACATCTATGTGACTTTAAACACATTTTGTTTATTTTGGTTGTGATCCTGCAAAGCAACACTTGGCTCCTGTTGCAGAATCACCGAAGCGCTTTACAAGAGCTTTTATGTATCCCCAGAAAAGCAGAAAGACCAAATGTAACCACAAAACATATCTTTGAGAAAATCATATCACCATAAACTTGAATATTCCCAGCCCCTGTGACTGTGCTGATGTGCATACAGTGTTTTCTTAAAGTCTGCAGGTTGTCATTTAATATAAAAATAGAGAAACAAATATGCAGCCATGTTAACAGCATGGATGTTATGAGCAGATTAAAATGGGGAGAAATGGCTGCTGAAGTACAGATTATTATATATCTATACTGGATATAACATGATGAACATTTTTGTTGCCTAGCCCGCTGTGTGTTTAACTGAGCACCATGTAGCCCTTCATTTACCTAACTGTACACTTGATATCACATGTTTTACATAAAGTCGGGCAGGCTGGTGAGCTCAGTGCACGGTGTTAACATTTCCATTTGACCCCTGCGTTGGCCAGTGCCAAGGCCTTTTTCTAGTGAGAGGAGTTTTTCCACCAACTGGCCAAATATGAAATATTTAATGCCAAGTAGCTGGTTACAGCTCCATGTCTTGTCAAGCAAACACCATGCGCCAAAGTTCTTAGGTAATAATCCACTGAATCTCTATCAGCACCAGGGCAGCTATTGTTGGCTCTACTCTGAGGGAAACAGAGCAGAGAATTTACTAGAGATCAACTGAGTGGCACATTATTAAAATGAAGTTTCTCAGTCATATTTTTTGTACTTCAGTCATGGTGACTACTCATGCTCATGTGATGAAGGGGAGATAAAAAATAGATGAAGCCCAGGAAATATATAATAGCAAACACCAATAACTTTAAAGTCACCTAGACAAGGCACAAAACTCAGTCACTGATGGGCAGAGACTTGATTAAATAGTGACGTAAATGTGTTTGTGAAACTCAAGGGTAGAAACTGGAAATGGCAGCAGAAAAGAATATTCAAAAATCAATACAGATGAAATAGTTTTATTACAATTAAATATTACAAAACTATGTTAAAATGTACTAATGTACTAATAAAATGATTTACGATAAAAAACAACAACTATATATCTCACCAATAATTTGGTGAGAGACAACAGTAAGGATTGTTCAGGGTTCCACCATATACTCACCACCACACGCACTTCACAGCAACTGAATTATTCCGAAGTCCCACTGCTGCTACCAGAATCAAACAACACATCACATCCTAAAGAAAAAATCTACCTGATTCTTTATGTATAAAAAGAGTGAATCCATCTTGCATGGCCATACACAAGAATAGTTCAAACAGATTATCTTTGTATCAATTCATTTGCGGTAATTTGATTAAGGACAGCCTGATTTGGCAAAACATACCATTTCTACACAGCACCCCTTCACTTCTTGCACGCTTTATTGTTGTAGATTAAATTCTAAACATTTACAGATGCCATTTTTGCCCCTCAATCCTCCAAAAAAAAAAAAATTCATGATTCAAATTCAATCATTTTTATCAAAATGAAATCTACCACACAACTAGAAATTACAGTTGTATGTCTACACTAGTTGTCCAGACTCGTATACGCTTCACACAAACCTTCGACCCAGCAGCACAAACAATCTATACAATCACCACAGTTCCACAGTGGGCACCCAAGATTAGTGTCACCAGTTTAGGATCTGACCAAATGTGAAATATGGCCCCAACCTCTCCTTCTGTTCCTGAGTTATAGCGTTGAATAATGGTGGAATAATAGGGTTTGTGCAGAACATTATGATGTCACAGTGAAGTTG